ATTGCAGAGTCAAGATGTGCATTGCTGATAAACTCATACCCAAAAAGACTGAGTGCTGTAATAAAATCAAAAGGTGCTTCAACAAAATATTAGTTTAAGGGTGTGCACACTAATGCAACCACATTATTTTAGTTTTTTATTTTTACTTCCCACTGAAAAACAGATTTCAGTTTGTTTTCAATTGAGTTGTACAAGTTATAGGTCACATTAAAGGTGGCTAAAGTTCTGGAATTATTTAACTTGGTCTCGTTTTTTTACATCACAGAAACCTGGCATTTTAACAGGGGTGTGTAGACTTTTTATATCCACTGTATAAGCAGTTCTGTGACACAGCCAAACAGGTTATGGCAAACATAAAGCTTGTCACCAGTGTGACGGTGTATGAAGTATTGTACATAATTTTGACCCATTAATAAAATAAACGTGGTCATTTGTTGTGAGTCACTGACAAAGTAAGCTGCTGTCTTGTGCCAGCACACACATCCAGCTGACAGACAGTGCAGGACAGTCGCTGATCAGGACATCCTGTGGGACAGAAGGATTCAAGAACATCAAGAAGTCAACACCTATCGCTGCTCAGACTGCAGGCATTGCTGCTGCTGCTGTAAGTTCTCACATGTTACTCTGGCACCAGTAACTTCCTGTCAAACAGCAAGGTGGAGGATCAGTGCCTTGCTCAAGGACACTTGGACAATGAGGCCCTATCTAAGGACTTTGACTGAGTGGAGTAGTCAGTGTTAAAAAGCTCATTTAGACTTTGTATTAGTGTGAAGACAGCTGGCTAATAGATTTAGGGTCACAGTTTTTCTTTGCTGTAAGAACAGTGGAGAATATATTGGTACTATAGTCTCATATATTTGCAATATTGACAATATTCTGATCTCTAAACACTTTTTCCTTGTGTTATAACTACTGATGAAAATGAAAACATGGTAATTACATTTAACAAAAATATTGGTGTGTCAGTATTTTGACCTTTAACCTCTGCTTCATTCATTTCTTCTCATGCTGGAGTTGTACCAAATGAAACTTTGCTGGCCATTCTGAATAAGAGAGTCAGATAGATACAGCATGTTACTGTGTGTCTTGTCCCCTGAACAGAAAGCCACAGCGAAGGGAGTCACGTTTGTTCGTGTTCTGGTCAAAGGTCTTGGCCCTGGACGTCTGGTAAGTAGAAGAAGGAAGTACAATATATACTGCTTGTGATCCCATTAGAGTATTTGCAGACTTCACATAAGTCCCCTTAGTGTAAAAAAATTCCATTGTACTGCTTGTGCAATGACAATAAAGCATTGAATACTGTTATTCAATATTGAGAAATCCTGAATATAGCTGCTATTACAGCTAAGAAGTACTTTCTTAATTGATCTAACAACTATTTTTTCAATTAATTTAGCATAAAACATCAGAAAATAGTCTGGAATAAATGAAATCATAAACCAACTAATCATTTACTCTCTACTTTAAATGTCCATGTATTGATAAGCTCACATTCTCCCTTTTCTCAGTTATTGGATTTTCAGAATTGGTTTCATATTGTTTTCAAGCACATAGAAATTTAGAAACTCTTAAAGGCTCAATAGAGTCATAGGATAATAGGATGAGAAGTGAAACATACTGCATGTTGTACCACTGACCTTCTTCTGCATTGATCTAATTGTGGCTGTTCAGCACAAAATAACCCTGCCAGCACACAGAGACAAGCCCTCTAATTAATTTCAGACTTTTTGTATAATGACAGTCTATGGCTGTTAGAGGAGCCGCAGACAGCGTGATGTGATGCCATTAGTTTTGTTAATGAATGAATGAATGAGTGTATTTATCCCTGTTGTGCAGTCTGCAATCAAAGGCTTGACGACGGGAGGCCTGGAGGTGGTATCAATCACTGACAACACTCCCGTACCACACAATGGATGCCGCCCACGCAAAGCCAGAAGGATGTGATCTCCCTGAATTGGAATGCACTGCAACAGGAGGAAGTTATTGTGTTGTAATATGTTAATAAAGTGTTTTGTTGTACAACTTTCCTGACTCTGAGCTGTGCATACATCATTAATTTCAAGAAATACTTGCAGATTTTGTTACTGAGCAGAGAGCAGGTGTCTTAGTACTCTGCTGTGACTGTTGACACGTGAATAAACCTTCAGTCTCACTGCAGGCACTTGTGTTCATTAGTAGACTGATGTTTGCAGATAGCACAGGAACAGACTGACGTCTCTGTGTGGGGGAAAGGAAAGAGCTGCTGGTAGCTATTACGACTGGAACTGGCTGTTTTGGAGTTACTCAACCACTAAGCTTCCAGGAAAACAACACATATCCGCAGTAAATACAAGAAGCAAATTCAACCTTGCATGAACACATTTTATTCATAATTTACCATAAACAGCCAAACGTTGGTATAATGTGATCATCAAAACTCTGCAGAAAAAGCATCCACATACAGACGGGTGTTATTAAAACAAGCATTGAATAAGAGTCAAACATCCACCAAACCACTATCAACTGGTATTAAGTGTCTGTGTTTGAGATGGACAGCACTACTGGTTGAAAGATTATTCAACAACAGAACACACATTCCTTTATGTAGACTATTTACTGGAACTCAATCCTTAACTATCTTTTAAACCATTCCTGGATAACATACAGTGGCTTCAGAAAGTTTTCAGACCCTATCACATTCTGCACACTTGATGCTGTATATTTCATTTTATATTGATAAAATTGTAATTTTTACATCAGGTGTCAGAAAGTCCCACACGTGTGTAAATAAGGCACCACGATTCACACTCCATGTTAGGACCAAAACCAAGAAACTCTCTGTAGACCTCGTGATAAAACTGTGGCATGGCATAGATCAAGACAAGGGTATAAAATTGTTTCTGGAGTTTTACATGTTCCCAGAAGGGCTGTCCATGTATGCAAAGCTTGTAGAGGCCTGCCAATGCAGCTTATACAAATTAAGGATTTGAATACTTTTGTAAATTATTTAGTTTTTTTGATTTAGTGACTTTATTTATTTATTGGACATACTGTTACTGACTTTTTGTAATTTTGCCAAATAAATTTCAAAAAATGTTCACCTTTTCATTATGGGTTCCTGAGTGAGGATTACTCCTTATCACTACACAGGGACAGAAATACTTTATGAAGTCACTGAATGCTTTAAAATATGACTATAGCCATTCATTATTGGAAAACTTTACAATCTTTGAATTGCAAGTAACCTATCACGTTCAAAACATGGTTTGTATCAAAGCCCCATAGAAAAAAACTGGGTGTGCTGCCCTTGTTTAGTGCAAACATCTGGGGCCTTTTGCTGTACAAGGGTACATGTAGATTGTTTGGAGAGAAAAAAAAATCACCAGGCAGAACAGGCCATGTAATGCATATAGCACATCAGTGGTTTTTGCAGCAAAGTTTGTGTGTACTGGAAAATTACTGGAGTCTTGGATACGAAGCCTTCCACAGTGATAAAAGACAGGGAGCTGGGGCACCATTAATCACACTGATATTTATGGAGCCATATCAGAAAATGGACCATAATTTTTAAATGTGATGAACTGCAACATTAGAAGTCTATAAAGTGTTTGGTTCTTTTATGAATGAGACATGAGAAAATAAATGGCATCAGAACAAAGCACAGGGCCACTGGTTAAGTGTTGGTACTATAGTGCAGAGGACAGAGTCAAAGCACCATAGTAACGGCACTGAAACTGTACGCCAATGCAAAAACTACACTCTCACATGCACATGCTTCACTTATTAACATCTTTTGCAAGCTTAAGCACATATATGAAGAAAAATGAGCCCTTTATGAGTAACAACTTGCTCCCCGTTGCATTTGGTTCCTCAGGTTGAGCAGTGACAGCCACTGTATACAGAGTTTCTCCTGCCCCCATTCTGAACCACACAGTAGCCTCCCATGTCGTAAAACTAAGGTTTGTACTTTTATTGCCCTGCTGTTAAGACTGACTCCTGCCAGCCGCCCACTGCAAGAGATTTTGTGCCATAAATTAACTTCATGCTAATGTTACTGCATCAATTCATCCTTACTTGCAAAGGCTTTTACTCTTTGCAGAGCAAATGTCTGCAATGTTAGCAAAACAACCACAACATTTTTTAAGTATGGTTTGATGCTGTCTGTATTTTTGTTTTTGAACACAGCAGCTGCTTTCTGCAATATCCAAACTAAGTCACTGGAATTTTCTCCCCTCTCAGAGACAGAAGTGTTTCAGATGCCCTGATAAAAAAAAAAAAAGTTAGTTGCTACTCTAGATCAACAGGCTTTTTAAAAAGATGAAATAATGTATTTAAATTGAGAAAATATTTAAAGGTCTGTTACGTTCCCAAAAAATTTATTAATTACAAGTGTAGGCAAATAGCTAGAGATAGATGAAGTGGAAAAAATCGGCAATAAAAATCTTTGAAAACTACAATAAGTTTGGTTGCTAAAGGCTGCTGAAATGTGTGTTCATTGGTCTGCCAATCAGTGTGACAGTGATAGCAGGATTTGTGGAGCTGGGGCTTTTGCTCACATTAGAAATTACAAATAACGTACCGCATCCGAGAATGCCATCAGTACTGAATAACACAATTACAATACGACAAGATAGGAAACCCTACTAGATAATACACCCTTACTCAGAAGGAACTGCACTGGACAACAGGTAATGTAACAATCATATTAATGTTAGTATGGAGGTAACACCATCACATAAAGATATTTACTCTATCTGCAGCCTTCAGTCATTATCGTCTCGTAAAGGTGCTGTATAGTGTATGTGATGAAGTGAGTTTACAGCTTTCATTTAGCCACTCAGGGTAACTTTCAGATTACCATCTGACAGTCTGGTGCAAGGTCAAGACAACAAGAAATACACAAACACAGTCGTGTTTCAGTCACTTTGGCGGACATTGTATCGACATACATTCACTTCCTGGAAACTTACCCTAACCTCAGCCGTAATGTTACTTGCCTAACCCTAACCTTTACATTTCTAGGATGTTCTCGTTACTTTCCCAAACCTAACCTTTACATTTCTAGGATGTTCTTCTTGACACCAAAAGGAAGTCGAGTCCCCACAATGTGACTGTGTAAACAGACTGTCCCCACAGTGCAAGTAATACCTCCACACACATGTATGAAAATCCCTAAAATTACTAAATCCCTACCAGCTCCAGATATGCTGCGTGGTGGCTCTCCCCAACTTCTGATCTGGGAAAGGGGGAAGAGACAACAGGACCAAACCACTTTACAAACAGGTACAAATGCACATGAAGGACAATGCTGCTGACAAAGAACATGTAAAGGTAGAGAATATTCTAGAAAACATTTCAACAATTGTGCACAGTAGGAGAGCTGCAGCTGATATACAGTAATTTAAAACTGATAGAAAAAATGTGCAGTACTGAAAATAGAGATTTTTACACACTAGCTATACAAAAATACATAGCTTTATTTCAAACAACAATGATGTCTTTCCTTTACACAAACCTCTAAACTCTGTTATGTTATAATTGGACTCCAGCAAGAAGTCTAGGATTTTAGCTCCAGTCAGCCTTCCCACAACCTCCCTTCTCTCATTTATGGGTCACCTAAGTGCCATACATTCAGCTACACATGGATAAAACAAAGCTTTAGCATCAAATGAGCAATGCCGATTTAAAACGAGCACAAAACAAAAATAACTGGTGGATTTATGTCACTGTAAATAAACTGCTACAAGCCCATCACACAGCAAAATACCAGAACAGCTGAATATTTGATTTGGCCAAGGGGAAAACAAATTTACTTTGAGGAAAGCCTGGGAAGCCTTTTCAACTGAACTGATGGAGGAGTAGTGGGTGGTACACA